TTTCAGAGAAGAGTATACATCTGATAAAGGCCTGATAAGCCTCTTACAGTCATTTATAATTATTTATAACAGGATATCAGAAACAAGGTTTAAAAACTGGCTCGACGCCTGTGGCTCAAGTGGCTAAGGCGTCAGCCACATACACCTAAGGTGGCGGGTTCGAATCCAGCCCGGCCCGCCAAACAACAATGACAGCTGCAACCAAAAAATAGCCAGGCGTTGTGGCGGGCACCTGTGGTCCCAGCTACTTGGGAGGCAGAGGCAGGAGACTCACTTGAGCCCAGGAGCTGGAGGTTGCTGTGAGCTGTGATGCTACAGCACTCTACCCAGGGGGATAGCTTGAGGCTCTGTCTCAAAAAAAAAAAAAAAAAACTAATGGAGCTGGGCATAGTGGCTTATGCCTATAATCTCAGCACTTGGGAGGCTGAGGAGGGTGGCTTGCCTGAGCTCACAGACTCAAGACCAGCCTGAGCCAGAGAAAGACCTCATCTCTAAAAAAAACAGCCAGGCGCTGTGGCTGGTGCCTGTAGTCCCAGCTACTTGGGATGCCATAGCACTGTACCAAGGGTGACAAAGTGAGACTCTGTCTCAAAAAAAAAAACAAAGGAAATTTTTTTTTAATTGCATGACATAGGCACAAAAGAATTAATCACCCCTTTATAAAACACAAGAAAAAGAACACTCCAGTATAAAGAGGTGCAAAGGATATATACACAGGCAATTCACAAAATTCAAATGACCCTAAAAAAAGTATAAACATAATTTATCTCACTAAAGAAAGGCAAAGTAAAATAATAAAATGTTCATATTTATCAGATTAAAAAAAAAAAAAGCTCTCTCGATCCAGGTTGAAAAGGTTACAACTTGTAAGAATATTAACTATAAAAACTATATATTAGCTTTGCTGGAAAACAACTTGACAGTGTAAGTAAAAATAAGTAGTGTGCATATGCTGTGCCACAGAAATACTACTTCTATGGATAATATCCCAGGAAAACAAAAGATGTATACATCTTGTGTGCAAATGTATGTGTAAGAATTTCATTGCAGATTTATAGTTGTAAAAAATAAAAAAAAAACATATCCACTGATAAGGAACACGTTAAATGTATCTAATTACTGAGGTACTACATAGCAGTTAAGAGACAAGGTAGAATTTATTTGCTAACGTGTAACAATATATTGTTATAATAAAAGAGAAACATACTACAGAATAGTATGAAACATTGAAACTGTTTCACATTAGAATCAACCCAAAGACATGATTACATGGATAATAGTGAATATGCTCCAGATTGTCTTATATTATTCCCAAATGTGTCCAGATTATGTAACTGAGAATTTTTGGACCAAATACCAGATTATCCTATCAGAATCCTCCAGCTCTAAAATTCTTTCCTTTTTTTTTTTTTTTTTTTTAGACACAGGGTCTCACTTGCTCTATTATCCAGGCTACCCTCAAGTGATCCTCCTGCCTCAGCCTCCCAAAATCCTGGAATTACAGGTATGAGCTACTGTGCCTGGCCTCCAAAGTTCTTTAATTCTATGTATTTTGTACACCGTAGATCCTACACAGTGTTACTGCAAGGCCCTGGTGTGTTTCTTTCAAATTTTTATATTTTTAAATGCCTTTTATCTATCAAACTACAATATAAAAGTATAAAGAAAAAAGTCCAGAATTTTATATCCATGTGGCAAAATTTCAGTTGGAAACCCTATCTCTTACCTCAGTAATAATACAAGAACTATTATATTTTCTTTTAAAAAAAAAAAAAAAAGTGAAGAAAGATAATACAAGCCGGACACATTGGTTCACGCTTGTAATCCCAGCACTTGGGAGGCTGAGACAGGTGGGTTGCCTGAGCTCACAGGTTCAAGACAAAATCTGAGCCAGAGCAAGACCTTGTCTCTCAAAATAGCCATGCATTGTGGCGGGCACCTTGGGAGTGTTGCTGGAAAACAACTTGGGAGGCTGAGGCAAGAGAATCTCTTGAGCCCAAGAGTTTGAGGTTGCTGTGAGCTATGACGCCACAGCACTCTATCAAAGGCAACAAAGTCTCCACAAAAAAAAAAAGAAAGAAAGACAATAGAATTATTTGAACACTTTGAGAAAGAACTATAAACTGTGCTATATATGGTACACTTATACAAAAATGCAGAGTATAAATGGAATCCTATTAGAAGGCAACTATAAATAGCAATTAGGCCCCTGAACAAGAATGCAGGAATGAGTTTTGGAGTCAGAAGACCTAGGGATAAAGATCACTCTTTTGGCTCCAGAATCCCAAGTCAATGAAACCACCTATCTGAAGCTCTAACTGCATCATTTGTAAAATGAAGATAAACATAATTAAAAAATTACACATAATACCTATAAAAGGTACCTGCCTAATAGAGTACCTGAGACAAAATAGGTTCTCAAATGTTTAATAGAAACAGTTGCACGCTGGTTTTCTTAAGGTTATAAACCTTACCTCAACTTATTTACTCTGCTCATCTGAATTTTTGTTACACAACCATCCTATGTTATTTTCACACTACATATCAGAAGAGGGCTCCTTGCACCCAAAAGTCTATTTGTTAGCATAGTCCTTTCCACTATAATTATACAAAGGTTAGTTACTGCAGAAACTCAGAAAGAAAACATACTTACAAAGCACACCTCCAAACCCCTGTGTTGCTCTCTGAGCTCAGTGCTTTTCTTAGGAACATAGGTCTGCCTCCTATCATTTCTTCATGAGGTTCAGGGCAAAAGGCCTAGACAAGTAGATGATCTTTGGTTGGCCCTACACTTTCCCCAAACCACCTACAAATAAATAAAACAAGAGGGTAAAACATACCTACAACTTTAAACTTTTTAAAATAATATTATTATGTACAGATTAAAGCATATCACAGAACAGAGAAAATGTCCCTAGGGTCATCCAAAAACCTAAGTGTTCTCACTGGAATAATTTCATCCAAGAGCCCAGCCAGGATGTTCCTCACTGCTGACTTCCACCTATGCCTAGTCATCCCCTGGGCTCACTAGATCACGCTGCAATGTGAATTATAGCCCAAGTCTAGTCAAAAGTAGCATGGCTAATAGTAAACTAAGTAAGGTAACGAAATTAACATTTCTCTCTGAAGGTGGTAACCCAATTGTATTGCTAAGGCAGTCTCACATTCCCAAAGGAAGTATGGTTATTTTATAAGCTGCCCAGTGCTTCCCACTAAGTACCACACTTAGTACTGCAATTAAATAAGTAAAAATAAAATGTCTTTGGTTGTAGGAAAGAGCTGCAGATAAAAATATTTTCAATTCTTTGTGACCGCATTCAAAGAAGTCTGCTAAGAATCCATAGAGAGTCATCCACAGAACTAGTAGTTGTTCACACAAAAAAGTAGATCTGGAAATATATTAATAAACCATTTCCAGAAAAAAAAAAGCTATTCTGGAAAAGTTAAGAAAGCAAAGTGTTAAGTGGCAGTTCAAAGTGATCCAGGTTACACAACAGCAGAGAGGACTTGCTGAGAAGACAGGCATAAGACACTCTTATAACAAAGCAGCAACCTTCACTCAATGAGATGAGTTGAGGGCACAACCAAGTTTTTCTGTGCCAATGTGAAAAGAAATGCCAAAGCTTTAATCTTCTCTTTGTGTTATGCAAAATAATAGTCACTAGCTTTATGGCTACTGAGTTCTCCTTCTCTTCAGCTCGAATTGGCACGTGTTGTAAATGTACAACACAGGCCAGAGTTTGAAGACTAAGTACTATTCTCTAAAAATAATACATATAAAATATCTCAACAAATTTTATATTTTCTACATGCTGAAAATAAAATGAATTTTTAGGCCAGCACGGTGGCTCATGCCATACGGGTAATCCTAGCGCTCTGGGAGGCCAAGGCAGGTGGATCTCCTGAGCTCAGGAATTCCAGACCAGCCCGAGCCTGAGCAAGAGAGCAAGACCCATCTCTACTAAAAATATAAAAAATTAGCAGAGAGTAGTGGTGGAGCCTGTAGTCCCAGCTACTTGGGAGGCTGAAGCAAGAGGATTGTTTGAGCCCAAGAGTTTCAGGTTGCTATGAGGTATGATGCCACAGCATTCTGCCCTGGGACACAGAGTTAAGACTCTGGCTCAAAAAAAAAAAAAAAGTTTAAAATATTGTGCTAAGTAAATTAAAATTATTAAAATTAATTTTATCACTTTCTACTTTTTTAATACAAGTACTACAAAATATAAAATTGCCTATGTAGCTCACACTGTATTTCTATTAGATAACACCGCTCTGCATAATTAATAAAAATAAAAAACAAATGCTGAGCACTTGCACAATACCAGGCACTGGGCTAGATGCTTTACGTAATACATAAATCAACACGGCAAAGCAAAATCCTGATCAAGTTATACCAGATGTCTGCTAACAGACTAGCTCCATCAAACCAACAGAAGATGTAACTGGGATTCAACGTTAAGTATTCCTAAGAAATAATTCAATTAAGGGACTGCTAACAGCTAAGATTGAGGCAATTCCCATGACCGCACAGGAAAGACAGGTCACTGATATACAGCGTTCCTGAAAACAGCAAACTTTCTGAGATTACAAAACAGGTGCAAAAAACACCAAGTTGCATAGCAGGACAGGCATGTAAACGTCTGACGGTTTTCTGGAGAACCTAGAGAACCACTCCAATCTCCTTGACAGCTAAAGCTTCACAGATGCTAGCGGCAGGGCAAGCCGCTCCCAAAGGGAGGACAACACAGGGCTAATTCACTAGATAACTGGACCAGGACCTGCCTGTGGACACCCCTGCCAAGGAAGGGAGGCCTCGGGACGCCAGGTACACCGTCTCCACTCACCGCGGCACACTCCAGCCATCCACCGCCCCAGCCCAAAGCTCAGCGCAGCTCTGTGTCCCCACCCGAGGGACTAAGGGAAGTGTGACCTAAAACATCTACGGTTAAGATAGGGAAGTGGGAGAGAGAGGGCAAGCGGGGCTCTGAGGGGGTAGGTACCTGAGACAGAAAAGGACCCCAGGTCCTCAACGCCGGATCATTGCCGAGGTTCCTCCCGGCTCCCGCGGCTACCGGTGACCCAGAAGGTGCAACTGACCAAAGGCTGCGGCGCAACCGACTCCGCACACCCCAGACTTGCCGCTATGGCAACTTGAACTAGCCGCCTAGCCGCAGCGAGAGTACAGGACCCCGCTGCTGCCGCTTGGCCCCCTGGGAGTTGTAGTCCATATCCTAGTCAAGAGTAAGGAGTTGCCGAGGGAGAAAAATTCAAAAGAAAACTGCAAGTCCCAGAATGCCATACGCTCGACTTCGGATCATTTTCCCGGAAGAAGCCGGATGAGCAGGCACCGGAGTCCCTGGGCCGCGCCCTCTAGCCCTGCTCTAAATGTTTTTTTAAAGGTCCAGTAGCCTCTATAGCAAATTCCAGATAGTAAATTAGTCCAGTGTGTTGGCCCAAAGTGTAATTTTACTCCCTGCAGGACCACAAAGGATAATTTATAGCAGTGAAATGTAAAAATCTCCTTGATACCAGGGTTCAGTGTCTTGTTACAAAGATTCACAAATTCTTAGAACTGGAAGGGAACAGAGAAGATTAGGCAAAGCTTTTAGATCTGGAAAGGGTAAGTGACTTCCCTAAGATTAGCTCGTTCATGACAAAACCAAAAGTAGAATCTGAGGCCGTGCACTCATTCTGGAACGTGATAAAAAAAATTGTTTACCTCTCAGGGAAGGTGGTTTCATTCACGAAGACGTAATGAAAACCTCAACAAAGAACTGGACTTTGGAAAAGCTAAGCAGTAAAAATAAAATTAGACATGTAGATGGTCCTTTTCTTCTACTCTGTTGAAAGTGCTACTGACCTTTCCCTCCTTGGGCTAAAATCAAACTTTACCTTATCTGTGAAAGCTTTCCTGGCTGCCTCAAGAAGAGCCCCGTCATGTTAACTGACAAGAGTTCCCTATTCTAATAATCCTACACTTTAAAAATCCCTTTCCCAGTGGTTCCCTCTACTAGCCTTTAAGGGACCTAACTTTTTAAAAGTTCTTTCTTCTCATCCTTTTCTCACTTCCCCTTCTCTCTTCTTACCTTTCTCTCTACCTCTCATACACAGAGTCATAAATAATCAGCACACAAATTTGGTACAGTAGAATCATTCAAATATTTTTTCTGGCCAACACTGAGGTAAAGCCCATTTCATGTCCAGGTTGAACATAAAACAATTCTTTTAAAGCCCTAACCATGTATATGCATCTATCCTCAAGCTGCTTACTCAAAGTTGTTACTCAAGAATACACTCCAGGTTGGGTGCCTATATCTCAGTGGTTAGGGCACCAGCCACATACAGGGGAGCTGGCAGATTCGAATCCAGCCCGGGCCCCCCAAACAACAATGACAACTACAACAAAAAAATAGCTGGGTGTTGTGGCAGGCGCCTGTA